GTGCTAATTTTTTTATTTTAAGTTATTTTTTGGCCTTTGTGCCTTTATTCGATAGTTTTTAGTCAGAGAGAGACAGGAAAGTAGGGGAGAAGAATCGCGGAAGGACATGTGGGAAAGGGTCATAAGCGGAATTCGAACTCATGACCTCCACATTGGAACTGTAGCCCTGCACATGGGACGCCAGCTCAACCAGGTGAGCTATAGCGGCGCCCCACAATGTGCTAATTTTGCACCAAAAAGAAGTAAGACAATACACGTATGCCACTTTTTGCTTCTCCTCCTTTGTGCCTACATCATTTAAATCCAGTAAAACGTACCGGTCCGTGCTCAGGATGCAGCTGCGAAGAGTGAGAAAGGTCGACCACTCACTTACTGATAATAATACACATTATTTCAGAAGGTGTTAAGTGCTCTCCGTCAGCTCTCTCGCAACTCCAAGTGTGCCGAGCGAGTAACGAGCCGAAAATATCGTAGTGCGGTATTTCTTTTTTTTGCAAGTTATTCAGTAATGGGAAAACTGAAGCGCTGTCCCACCTCTGGGTGCGCTTGTTCTCCAGGAGCTGTGTCAACCACGTCTCCCGCGAGCCCCTGGCACAGGAGTGCTATCAAAGCCCTAATGGGAGCTGCAGCTTTGAAATGCTAATGATAAAATAATCTTTTTTAAATGACAAGGTGTTCAGAATTAATCACCGAGTACAGTAACGTTTGACACGCCATCATCTCCTTAGCGTGTGCCTGTCGTGGCAGCCAAGAATGCTTATGAGTGTGACTGATGTTTTAAAAAAATAAAAAAAAGAGAAACAAACTTGGAGTCAGTGCACCTTTTTAAACCTTTTAAGAAATGAACAGATCCAAGAGTTTGAAATCTATACTCACGTGGCAGTCGAGCATGTCTGTCAGTGCTAGAATTGCCCCGTGTTTAATACCTCACGTCCATATGTGAATGCTTTTCTGCAAAGTTTCTTCATTTTTATTAACAAATGGAGCCGGTCTTCCCAAATGTGAGATGTTTCCCTAATGCACGCGGCCCAAAACTGTCTGATTAAAGAGCAAGTAAACAAGACTAATTGGACCGCGTCAGATTAAATTTCAATTAAAGAAAGTTTTCGCTGACACTTTAGACTCGGCGCTGAGTGGCCGGTAGTTGACATTGTTTTGGATCCGGTTACGAGCTAATTAATGCGAAGAGAGCGAGGACGAGATGAAACTATTGATTTAGTTATAACTTTTAAGGTGTATTTCCGTGTTTTTTGATGGCTGTATGGGAGCAATGCATCCGGCTGAGTGCAACATTGTTTTCGGAAGGTGGGGCCCGTCAGAGCTAAAAGATCATCCATTATTGATGGTCCTGCGAGCGCATCCAGACAACTGCAGCTCGGTATTGATCTCAAATCTGCAGCTTTACAGCCAAAGCAGGAATGATAGGAGCGCATCAATGGCACGATACATCTTGTGTAAATGTTCCGCTCAGTGGCACTCAATGCTGCCCCGGCAAGCGGTCAGACGTACTCGAGATAGTATGTCTGACCGCGATAGTGTGGATGTCTTTAAGAGGCTTTCAGTCTGTGGTATCATTGAGTAAAAGCCTCGTTATTCTCTTTCTAAATACATTGAAATACAATATAACAATTCTGGCTGTTGGGTATAGAAAAATACTTACCAAGAAAAATCACATGATTCTTCTTTTTTTTTTATCAGGGTTTCCGAGCAATTTATGTTCCCGCGGAGATGAAACCATTGATTTCTTCTTTTTCTTTGTGGGCTTTTAAGGCCAGTTTGTACAATGGGAAGCCTGTTAGATAAACTGCTGTTGCCACAGCTGGATAAGTTTCAACACAGCATCCGTTTTGGACTTTAGAACATCCTCATACAGTTCTAGCAAACAGTCGAATTGAAAGGTTAATAATATTCTGACTTATTAACCGCTCCGAACCTTCACTGATTTCTATTATTGGAGTTAATAAAATGAATCAGGTGTTTGTCACATTGAGCTTTTTATTCATTAAAAAGTTATGTTTGCCTTGCACGAATTAATTTTGATACCGCGTCACACTTCTAATGTGGGTTCTGCTTAAGGAGCTTCTTAAAAATATATAAATCCCAGGATAACACACATGCAAACTGCTTATACAACCTGCAAAACAAATACAACAGTTTAGATTCAGGCTCGCAAAGTACGATTCATCACGACCTCGACTGCCATTTTTTTCCTATATAGTAATTAATGAGTCCTTTATCACAGTGTGCGCCGCATAGCTCACGCCGTATTGTTGCGTTCGTTCCTTACTTTCCAGGCAAGAGTCTTTTAAGTTCACAGTTGTTTGAAGTAAAGACATGACTGCTGATGAGAGAAGAGAGAAAGCGAGAGGCAATTAGTGAGTCATTGTCAACAATGGATATGAGCGAGGGGGGGAAAAAAATGTGTACATTTAAAGTGTGGGCTGACAGCTTAAATGTCAGAATATTTTAGAATCTCTGTCTTGTTGTGCTTTTAATTAAAAATCCGGCTGAATTATGAAGTATTGTTACAAGCCTCCCTTGCATACTGAAGCTTCACCTCGCTCATAAAACTATGAACGCGGGCTGCTTTCACCTCAGCAGACCCACACGCAACCTTTATGTAGCCGAGGTATGAAACAAATTGAAACCAGGTGCGTAATAAAAAATAAAACGCAGTTATCATGCAGTCGGTAGGTGAAATGCACATCAACTTTGTGGCTTTAAAGAAGTGTAATTGCTTTTCCTCCCAACATGTTTGTTTTGTTTGACGTTCGTCAGATCCTCTCGACTCGTTGAATAGTTTATACCGTCCATCTGTGTTTTAGAAATGATATTAATGCCACAATCCAGATTATGTTTTACTCTCTAACTTAGCGGTGTTTACTTCTGTCTTGTCTTGTACAGTAATTAGAACTTACTTCCCTATTAGAGCTCCGTGCTGTTATAAAAATAAATGTGATCAATAATTAAAAATTGGACTCTGCCTTTTTGCTGTCTCAAATTACTTTTTTTTAATGAACTCATACATGCTTTTATTTCCGAGAGGAAAAAAAAAACTGTCTGATACCGTTAAAAAAAAAAAAAATCTGTTGCTGAGTTCACAAGAGATGCCTTGATGTTGCCTAATTGGGGAGGAAAAAGTAAGAGTTTTTTTATACTTTGCTTGAACTTTTTTTAAATAAAAAATGTTCACACTGAGACAATTAGAGGTACAACTTAACTGTCTAAAATTTAAAGCACTTTTAATAACTAAAAACTAACAAATTAAACACGTTTAACACAGCGGTTAGATTTTTAAACTGGAGAAAATAATAATACTGATAATTATAGGTCACCTTGAGGTGTCTATTTGTTGTTTTATTTTTGTCATTCAATGGATAAAAGTAATAAAGTGGGATTTTTTCTTTCTTTTTTGTTAATGTGAGGCAGGAGATGGTACCACAAGAGAGCGTGTTAGGTAACAAGTTGTTAAAATACTTCTTGAGTGGACATGTCACACTCTGGTTGATTCATCATCACCGCAAACAATGAGCCAATTGTGACTCAAGGTAAAGGTACAAGACTGTGTACATACGAGGGGAAAAAAGAAAAACTTTTAAAGAAAACTTCCTCGGATCTTTGTGTTGCTCAGACTCACAGCTGTGCTGCCTGTGGCTCTAAACAGTGGGATGACAGCAGAGTTTGATGCGGTGATTTGTTCCTGGTTTCCACATCGGAGCTTTTTTAAAAACGCGTTTTGACTGACGTGCACCTTTAGCTGACTTCTTCTCCACAGCGGTCACTGCTAAGGCTCAAACCTGAAGTGTGCATACAAGCAAACGACTTTAACATAGCGGTGTCGTAGTGTTAAATTAACCTGACTTGGTTAAAGTCATTTAACTGTTGAGTGCAATCTTACAATTCAAGAATCATTTTTTTCTCCACTAACATATCAGGCAAAGCTCACATTTTCTCAGCTGGAAACTTGTGGAATACAAATTGTATTTTGTCAAATGTCACTCTTGGAAAAAAACAACAAGATATTTCATTACAGCTAAACTCCTGGAATGCAATAAACATCATAGATTTATGTCGAGCAATGAGACTATCCAAAAAGTGGAGTATTTTTTTACTCTTTATCATTTTTGACACAGCGGTTCGGTGGTTCATCTGGGCTTCATTTTTCCGGACAGATCTGAGTATTATGATCAATGGAAGCGCGATAAAGTAAATACAGCTGATGTCGCAGTCGCTGCTGTTGTATGAATAGTCGGCGGGCACGGAGTCGGACCGTCGGCGCATCATAAAAGCGCATTCTTTTGCTCTCCTGCTCTCTCTGAGGTGTCGAGCACCAGTCTCCTAGAGCTCCATTATTTTGTTGGTGCCTAATAGCAAACTTAACAATGGAACTGCTGAGGTATGCACTGAAAGTCCCGCTTTAGTCGCAAAGGGAGGAACTGCATGTATAGCAGCGAGTATGATGAACTGCTGGGATTGTCTGTGTTCTCTTTCTGATCATCTTTTCACCAACTTGTCAATAATTTTGTGACACGCTCGTACAACCCTGTGACTTCTCAGTCCCTTTTCAGTCCTCTGTGGGAACTTCCCGACCTGGAACTGAACCTGTACCTGTTGTCACGGCTTCTGCTTTTGTTTCCCCTCTGCCTGGTTTGGAAATAAGTTCAGTACAATGCAGCAGTAACCGCAGTTTCACTTCTGCGTGAGCGTTTCTTTGTTTTAAATGAGGAACAGAGCACAGCACATTTTGTCCGATGACTTACATCCTAGTTAGTGAAATCCAGCGAGGAACCGAAGCAGAGCCAGTTACTCTTCTACCTACAAGTTTTCATGAAATTCAAGGTCACAGATTGATAGGTGGTGTTAAAGCCGCTTATGATAAGTGTCTGCGTAGGCCAAGTAGGCTGCATTAAACTTGCTGAATTCTGTGAAATTGTGAAAGTGATTCATTCGTGCAGTTCTTTATCTAATGCACAGTCCTTCTGATTTTTTTTTTTTTTCAGATCTTTCCGCTGCTGTCCAAAAGTTCTCCCAGTCCCTGCAGGAGTTCCAGTTTGAGTGCATAGGTGATGCAGAGACAGATGATGAGGTGAACATTGGTAAGTTCACATTAACAAGACCCAGGAGGCCACATATCTCTCTCTCGCTCTCTCGTCTTTCATCTCCTTCTCTCACCTGAATCAGAACCTTTCCTGACATTTCTGTAAAGATTCTTGAGGGAAAACAATCGACCGTTTCCTACACGTCCTCCGGCTGAGGATGAAGTGTCCAACATATGCAATTATATTTAAGCAATTTTCCATCAGTGAAAGTAGCTAATAAAGAGACACTTTAGAAGAAGTCTGCATACCCTAGAAACTCTTGGAATGGGATTTGGCTTTAAGTATAGATCTTACAGTTGTCTGCCGTGCATGTATAATTAATGCTATTGATTTGCTTATGATGCTTTCCTTGTATCTTTTCGAGCCTGTAAGAGATCAAAGGGACTAATTGTGATCAGTGTCAGAGATTAATGGAGGTGCAAACCTTCTAGCCTCCAACAGGAATATGAAAGCAGCTGTGCAGAGGGCCTCGCTGGCTCTAATGGGCAGGACTCCCAGTCTGGCCTCTCCTTCCTCCTCTCTCTCTCTCTCTTTTTTTTTTTTTTTGCACTGCTCATTATCCCCAGCTTGAGTCCTTCGCTCCGTGGAGATGTAGACTGCTGAATTACTGTCCATCTGTGAGGGCTAGACGGGATATCGACCTCCTCTACATGAGGCTGTAATGTTCATCTGAATGCTAAATGAATAGTCCTTTTTTTTTTCCTTCTCCTCTCTCTCTCTTTTTTTTTCCTCACAAAGCTGCCGCGACTGAATGATGGCCGCGAGTGCAGGAGACCAATTATGCATATTGGAAAAATCTGCACCCAAATCCAAGCCTCATTAGAATAAAGCACACTTTAATTGGAGGCAATGCTCCTCTTCCTTGGCCTTCAATCAAGGATGTGTTGATCTCAGATTGGACAATGGAAATTTTTAGCTGCCCACCTGTAGCTGGACCGTCTCTGTGTTTACAATACAAGCCATCGGCGTAATAGAAACGGTTCAGATGGCAGCTCTGTGCCATCTGTTGGCAACCGATTAATATGCTCTCCTTTTGATAGCCAGTGTGGCTAAAATTCATTAGGGGGGGTTTAAATTAAGATCAACATATGAAACCGAAAATGCAAAATGTCACAATAACAGTGTGCAAAAATGTTAACTTCCTCGCATCTGCAGCACACAAGTTCTGGCTCCAAGTGTGCTATTTTGTACACATTGACTATAAGTGTTCCTTCCTCACATCCTTGCGCCGTGTTTGCTCACTGTCTCGGAGAGAAAAGGCCATGATTACTGTTTGAGGGAGAAAAAAAATGAAACCGCCTGTTGAAATCAATCTAGTCATCAATGAAACTGAGCTTTCTGACTGACATAGCTAGACCCTTGCGAGAATGCCAGCCATGATCTTGATTCAGTATTGGTATAGTTCACTTTGATGCTCCCAACTTCCCCCCCACCCCCACACACATAACATCAGGATCCTGTATGTGCTGCCAGACGGGTTCACCTGACCTTTTATTGATTCCACTCTATGACTTCCTGCAGTGACATTCACATTCTACGCCAGTTATGTAGGAATCAATGGGGCCAAAAGATTGATGTGGCTATAGAAATTTAAATTTTTTAGAAAAGTTACAGGCCTCTCTCTCAGAAGGTCAATCCTTCAGTCTCCGAGAACGGTTCAGAGCCTTCTGCGGTGGAACAAGTCGGATGAATCTAGACCAAAAAGCATAAAGGCAACATTCGAGTCCATGAAATCAAACATCGTAAGCATGCACCTCAGAAAAATACACACACACACGGGAAACGTCTTTCTTCTCGTGTGAGCTTATCTTCCTTATTCGCTCATTGTTAAGGCACTAAATTTGATTTCGTTCAGTGATTCATCAGGTCTATTGCCTTCCTTCCATTTACCAATGACTGATATGCAAGCTCTAACCTCACTTTGACTCCCATTTCCTTTCTTCAGAGTCTAATCTTGTCCCATCAGCAGTTCCAGCTGTGCCCTTTACCCCCCGAGAGGTTTGCGCCGTTGATAAAGGAGCTGGTGGCGTTAATAGGAGGCCAGCCTGCCTGCGGGATCACTGGCACAAAATCATTGCTCCCTGGTCTTTAAAAGCTTTGGTGTGTAAATGGACCAAAGTGTCTAAGATGATGCATGAGTTCCCATGCCAGGCTGTCAGGGATGATAATGATGTTACTGTTTTGGCAAGCGGAGCAGCTCGACCGCTGCTAAATGGCTGGACACGGGGTGACACAGGGGGCTGACCAACGGGGGCCACGTTGTAACCGGCCCTCTATTTAATGAAGCCGCGAAGCTATCAAGGCGCAGTTCTCTGGCAAATAAGGGTCGATATATCGTATGCCGAATTCATCTGGCGCTGCAGAATGTAATATAAGCTACTGAAGTATAGCCCAGATGGCGTGAGCATATCTCCACCACATCAGTCTCTCCCCCCTACACTGTGACTGTAAATTGTGGAGCCTAGCAGGGGAAGAAAATAAAGGGAAGCAATCAGTGGGCTCCATTCAATTGAAGTATTGTTTTTTACTGCTAGTCTTGGTTTTAAATTGGACAGCTGCATGCTTTTATTAGGTTCTAAAATGTGCTTCACTGAAAGGTCTGACGCCGCGGTGCAAATACTGTAAACATTTTAGCACCATGCTACAGAGCTTGTGGGGTGCCAGGAACATCTGATGTCTAACGACCACTGTGCCACTGAGTTGTTGTTTTTTATTTTTTATATATATATATATTTTTATCATGAGAATGTAGTGGTTCACTGTGTGCGCTTGATCAATGGTGAACATATTGTGGATGATCGTAGCGTCCGTGTTGTTGCTTTTATTGACCAAACAGTCGGTATTTCACCTTTTTTTTTAATACGGCGTGACAAAAATGATTTCTCTTTGTGTTTCAGCTCAGTCGTTCAAAGAGTTCTCCCAGCTGCTGAACACCGTCGAGGAGGAGAGACGACGTTTGGTAAGCATGCAATTTGAAAACGAGATTGCAAAAGGAAGGTTTTTATAGCGTCCTTTGCTTAATTACAGATTGATATAAAACACCGAAACTAAATAAAAATGACAAAAACACACATTGCACCTTATCTAGTTTACATTTCTCCATTTTCAGGGGGTTTAAGCAACCAGTGTTTACATGGGCGACCTCTTGCAGTCTGAATAAATGCATGTCAGGTCTTGGAAGGCGGCGGTGGTGTCGCCATCCCTGCTTTTAGAAGGGACTGGACTCGTCCTTTGCGACCAAGAAAATGGAGGAGAAAGTTGTTTAGAGATGAAAATAGTTGCTGTGATGTCAGTCATCGGTTTGGGAGCTACCATTTCAAAGCTTTGAATGTGGTGTTTGAGCCGTCACTTTTTTTTTTTTTAAGACATCACAAGCGAGGGCTGGATCTGACTCAGACCTGCATGTCCGTACAGAAGCGATCACAAAGTAGCTCCCATCCGGCTTTATTGTCTCTTTTACGCTGAATAGGATCATAATTTACAAAATGAATTTCATGCTGCGTTGATGAAGACTTGAAAATTGCAGCTGAGACGATGAACTCATTAGAAAAATGTTTACAAAGGTATTAAAGCAAATGAGAAGTAGGATCGTTTTCTTGTAGATTTCTTTACGATAAGACTTCTTTTTGCAACCATTTATGTGCAATTTATAGTTATTGCAGATGTGAAAAGGTTTATTTTACCAAAACCATGATGTTTTCATAAACCTTACCCAACAATGAGTGAAAATCAGTTTAGAAAATAATAGTCATGTAACGTAACATCACTCTGTATGTCTTTGTTTTGCTAAAGTTCAAACATTCTGGTTTTAAGCATGATTTTATCTGCAATCAATCAAGAAAATAACCAACAAACAAAGCAAAGCGTTGCCGTGGCTGCAGCGGCGGACGCCATTCGGTTTGGCCTGACTGATTGTTCAGCTGCAATTCACAACAATCAAGTGTTTAATTATGACAATTTGTTCTTCCATAACAAAATGAATTACAATTCATGCCGTCAATCCTTCAAACCGCTGCGGCGTGCTGTTGTCCGGAAGATCACGGAAACTAATTGTGCAACTTCGCAACCCCGGTTCGTGAGGACACGGGCAATGAGCGAACTCAGAAGCTAATAGACTTTGGAGAGCTTTTTCTTGGCAGATTTCTTCCCGTGTGTTTCCCATGATTGACAGCAAAGAGAGCAAAGCATAATAAACAGTGTCAAGTAATATGAAAATGCGGAGTGTAATCTCAATGAAACAGCAGCGCAACAGAGAAACTTTGGCAGAAGCAGTTAAGGCTTCATGTTTTCGGTGATGGATTTTTGAGTTCAGATAATTTCAAGTCGGCGGACGTTTTCTTTTTTTTTTCTTTTTTTTTTCCCCGTGTTGTACAAAAAGTGGCAGTTATGGCTCCAGTTGGCTGCTCTAAAGGTCGGAAAACAAGCCTCCAACTATGCTGAGGCGCTCCAGACAAACCAGGCATGACGTAAAGGGCAAGGGCAATGAAGGTGGGGGGGATGGAGGGCATATGTCCTAACCGATGTGAGGGAGTCGCACACCCACCTCCCTCCTCCATCCCATATGATAATATGCCCAAAAAGAATTGTGTAAATACATTTAAAAAGAACTACAAACACCCACCTGCCTGCCTCTCCGCCCTGTTCAGGTAACCGCTTCAAGAACAATTGATTTGTGCTGTCATGTTTGTGTTAAGTGGATGAGTGTGGAGTGAAGACATCCAGTCTTCAGGTTTGCAGCCTTTTCATATTTTTCTTCCATCAGACCAAACAGAAGTGTCTGACTGGATGTGTATATCCTACCACTCGGCTTATTCAGAAAGAAATTGGTGCTCTATTGAAATATGGCGAGGCTCGATTTAGCCTCAAACTCCACAAAATGTTCCGAAGTCACAGCAGCAGAATAGACACAATAGAGAGCTTTGTACTCTATCGATATACTTGTACGTCGTGTTAAGGTGCGTATGCATTTCCTTTTTCTTTCTTATTTCACTGTAATTCTTCAATATTTTCACCTCAGTGGGGAAAAAAATAAAAATGCCTGCGGGCAAAGCTTTAAAACTACATCCCAGCTTTGGAAATTAAAAAAAAAAAGAAAATACTTTTGCACTTCTCCTGAAAGTTCACTTGAGCAACTTTCTTAGTTGCACCGAGTCGCTCTGTTAATGCAGAAGCCGGCGCTCGCACTCAGCATTCAATTAGTAAAAGTAGACGTCTTAGAGGGCGGTACCTACTGAGAGATGTCTCAAGGCAGGAATTATCTTAGTCCACATGCTTAAGCTGTGCATCTGATTTACCAAGTCTGATATGCAAATGAGATCAGCTGCAGGTTAGCAGTCCTGCGTTTCGTAACAACCTGAGACGTTTTCATTAGGATTCCACGGAGGAGCAGACTGCAAACTTTATCCAGACACCTTTTTTTTTTCTTTCCGCGGGTGAGCGTTTGATACTGAAAACATTCAGTTTGAAGTCACACCTTAAATGTGACTTTAAGGACAAACACTCTGAGTTTTAAGGTAATCGGTGTGCCGATACTGTGATTAAACTGCTGAAGCTGTTCCGCGTCTATTCTGTGCGTTCCTGTGCATTGTCTAGAGCGGCTCTCGCAGTAGCAAACACAGGCTACAGTTGTAAAATCATGTGACGTCTCATTGTGAGCATTTCCCTCCTGACATTCAAAGCGTAGCTAAATTTTTATGATGGAAATAGTTGCCCTTTGAAGATGTGGGTCACCTCTGTGTAGCTTCATGGAGAATTGTGTCATCCTAATCATTTTACAAGCGGAAAGACACGATTTATAAATTCATATCACCCATGGTGTGTGTTTTTTTTTCTTTCCCCCCCTCCTCTCTCTCCTAAAAGCTCTAATCGCTGTAAATTATTTATTTGCTGTAGATGAAACAATTCCTGTAACAACGGCCTGTCTCAACTACTAATATCAGGATGTTTTAGCCAACGATGAAGAGCTTGGAAAGTCGACATTTGTTTGTTGCTTGATTTAAATTAGTTTCACTGTTTTGTTTTTTTTTGTGTGTAATTTCTACCCAACATATATTAAGCATTTAAAAGCACCATGGTTACTCAGCATTCTGTCTTTATGTGCATGCAGCACCATGGTTACACACTTCAGTTGATCCTGGTCTTTTTGTGCATATAGAAGGAAATATAGCAAAATGTGTAAATTACCTTCTGAAACTGGGCAGCCTGAGTAGTGAAACTCCTGGACTATCTGGCATTAAAGCTTTTTGACACATAGATAACAGTACGGTCGTGACTCAATAATCCAACACTAAAGGTAAAACCTTCTCTTATGTCGGATAGCAAGGCTGTCGGAGGTCAAGATACAAGGAGGGCTTGATGTTGGAAGGCTCATTTGTTGTTAATATTCATTGTTTATAGGTGTTATAATAACTCGTAGGGCTGGTCTGAATAGCACTTTCTGGTCTCTGGATATTCAGGCCCAATTAATGATGAATATCAGAATATTCAACGCGGTCGGGGGACCACTTCTGTGGCTGGAACACACAGGCAGTACTTGGCTGCTGATGCTAGTTTAGGATAGCCGTCACAGCTCTGGTTCCACCATCGATGGTTCCACCGCCACCATCCATATTTACTTTCGTAAACACTGAGCACGCTCACTGCGTGTAGCATCGTTGTATCGTCCACTGTGCATGCGGGACACTTTTGGTTCGTATGAAGTTCACACAGCAGATCACATACAAGTCGCATTTAATTGGAAATTTGAATAAACTCGCAAAAACAATCTGAATTGAGCATCAAGTCCTGCAGTCTGAACGTAGCCAATCTGTTGTATTGTTCAGTCAGATAATACGTCGTTATCATTGTTTGTGGAATCCAAGGCTGTCTGTATGTTGAGGCTGTTTTTCATGGGTTCCGTTAGGTTTTCCTAAAAACTTGTTGGATAGCAAGGTTTTCGGATTGTTAAGGGTCGGATTATCGAGTCACGACTGTATTTACCATGTATAAGTTATAGTAACTAGCATTTTTCTCAGTGCACTGACTATACATGTGAATACCTGAGACTTTGCTGGTGCAAATTATGGAAGTTCCTCATTTCCAGATGAAACAAGGATTTACAATTAGTTCATTTGCGTGTTGTGATGTGTGCAAGGCCCTGGCATGTAGTCATCTGATGGCTGTCAAGCTTGTTCAGTGTACAGCTAGTTTTTTTTATTGTTGTTTTTTTGAGCGCGTCATACAGGAAAGGCAAAGTCAGAAGTCTGGATGGCACGGAGAGGTAACAGTGTTTTACACCTTTACGTGTTCTTACAGCATTTGTATGCATAAACAAGAAACAAAGAAAGAAGACAGATACATATTAATGCACGCATTTGCAGGTTTGTTTGTTTATTTATTTATTTACCTACCATCTAATTTCAAAGGGCGCAAGAAACGAGTCGAGATGACAAGCAGAGACAGGCCGAACTGGATAAGAGGAATTAAATCACGCCACAGCTGAGCGGGAGGAAGCCGTAAGACAACGGCAAAACGCGTGATTGCAAAGTAATGGAAATAAACTTAATAAATCAAAGCGGCTGTGGCTAGTCACAGAATCTATAGAATGCTTTACTTCATTCACCTGCGCTACGTTTAATAAGTAAACTATTCATAGCACACACACACACACACACACTCTCTCCCCCTCATCCCTCTGTACTTGCTTGAAAAGCATCCTCTTTGCATCATCTCGCTCTCTCTCTCTTCACTTCACCTGGCACTCCGTCTCATCAGATCTCAGGAATATGCAAGAAACGCGTCTCTGATCTCTGCACTTTGAGCTGATTTGAATGTTGGTGACGCAGGGAGAAAAACTTCTTCTCTGCTTGTACACATTTCAAACCTCTTGGGATACGAGTGCCAGCAATGTAACTAATGTCATTTGTAAACCCAGTATTTTTTTTTCTTTTTAAATCCTTTTTGATATGAAAAGTGACTTTT